CTCTCTCTCTCTCTCTCTCTCTCTCTCTCTCTCTCTCTCTCTCTCACACACACACACACACACACACACACACACACAGGAGAACAAGCACAATAAATACAAATGCAACAATAGCCAGGCAGTGATGGCGCTCGCCTTTAATTCCTGCATGGGTAGCTCTGAGTTCCAGCCTCGTCTACAGAGTGAATAGCCAGAGCTGTAACACAAAGAAACCCTGTCTTGAAAAACCAAAAGAAAAAAAGAAAAACCAAATATATAGGTAGACAAATTGCTAAACAGTCTTATTATAAAAACAAACCCAGAAGCCAGGTATTAGAGTGAATTCTAAAAGGTCAGAGAAGCAGAACAAGCCACAGCTAACCTCACCTCGACAGCTTCTCATCCGATTCTGTTTCCACAAATCCTTAGCCTGAAAGCTTCTGAGTCCTCAGCCGAATGGAGCTCAGCTGAACTGCTGTTAAAAGCCTCAAAGCTTAAAAGCCTCTAGCTCCTGGTCCTCAGTTCTTATATACCTTTCTGCTTCCTGCCATCACTTCCTGGGATTAAAGGTGTATGTCACCATGCCTGGCTGTTTCCAGTGTGACCTTGAACTCAGAGATCTCTGCCTCCAGAATGTTAGGATTAAAGGCATGTGTTACCATTGCCTGACTTCTGTTTAATATAGTGGCTGTTCTGTTCTCTGACCCCCAGTAAGTTTATTGGCATGCACAATATAACTACATTTATACATATATTTTTAAACTTATTTTTAATGGACAGTAATTACTTTTAATCACTAAGTCGTCTCTCTCCAGCCCAAATAATGGAAAACCAATGAAATACAAATGTATACTATATGTTAAAAAAAAGTAAGAGAGGCAGATTAGAATGCAAAATTCAAAAAATATATATATACCAACAAATCATGGTAAGGTTTAGCATGTATGCTTCTCTACTGTGCTAAGAGACAGCAATAAATGAGAGAAGGCTCAGTGGGTGAGGTACCACAGAGCCTTACCACCTAAGCTTGCTCTCTGGACCAGGGTGGAGAGAGCCAACTTCCATGCATGCTATGGCATGCACATGATCCCCCACCACCATATACAAAATAAATAAATGGAAAAAAATAAAGCAGTAAATGGTCTTAAAGTGATGACTTTATTAATAAATATACATCCATATGATGATGTAGATACAAATCATGAACACTACTCCATTCCCATACACATAATTGCACATGAGTAGTTCAAGTTCATGGACATTAAAACATACACAGTATCTATTCAGACTTTTTACAGCAGAGGACAACGTGCTTATTTAAACGGTTATTATTTGCTTCATAATTGTCTGTGGAAAAAGGAAACTGTGAATCAAAGAATCAGAGTAGCCTGATTAAATCACACAACTGACTTGCTACAGCATTAATTCTCAAAAACTTAAATACACTGTATGTGAGAGCATAGATCTGTCTACTTGGAAGGAAAAGGGAGAAGAGCAAAGATTCAGATACATCTTAGAGTTTGAACGAAGCCAATGACATTATAATAGACAGAACAAAAGAGCATCAAAACTTTTTATGCCCAAGACTGTTCTGAATTATTAATTTACTGTAACGGATCATAAAAGCTTACAGCATATAGCTAAGGAACGGAGAGAATTATTATCAACACCCCTGAACTGTTCTTTCAAAGCTTTTTAAAGTATAAAGAATTTCACTGTCTAAATTCACTATGGTCATTCTTACACTGGATGAAGCGCCCTTAACCTCATATTAAATGGATCCAGATTTTACCTCAAAGAAATTCAGTATTCTTATTTCATGAAAATATATATGTAAATTCACACAAACAGCAGTTTGGAATCAATAAATACATGTTGACTGATGTTTCTTTTTAAAAAGTAAATTAAAAATACAAAGAACCATTAGTTTGATTTAAACACTGATTTTTAAAAAAGTTCCCAAATATTAAAAATTAAACCAACTACTATTTAATTTTTCAATATATTGTGCCAATATTTTTTTATATCCAGTGCAAAACTCCTAAGATAGTATCAAAATCACCCCTATTAAAGATTAGTTAAGCAAGGTGATACCTGTGGAAAATGAGAATTTCATCTGTATTGATTGACTCCTTATTTGTTATAACAATAATAAATAAGGCATGTTATAATATCCTTTTCAGAAAAAAGTAAAACCAACTTACTGGAATAGATCATTTTCTGACAAACAGTTTTAATATAGAATAGTGAAACCTATTTTATGAAGAATAGAATCACGCAGTATAAAATTAGCAATTTACCTTTCAAGGAACAATTATACAGTGGGGGGGGCAGTTTTCCCCAACTGAATACACTGACATCTAGGCAACTGATTAACATGCTATTTCAGTGTCTGTCGTGACAAAAGACCATGTTACAAAAGATGCAGAATGCAGTCTTTAGATCAGGTAGAAATAAAAATAGCTTCTATGTGAGGACTTCATGTCATCACTTCTGTGTCTCTCCCGTGGGGCCTACTGAACTGTCCACAAGGAGAGGAGCAAGCAGACCCAGATGTTCACCAGAGCACACATTTACTGTTCCAGCTAACTGCTCACAGGAACAGTACATTCAGTTTCCTAACTGACGCCACTCACAAGTGTAGCCACTCATCCCCTTTCCTGGGATAGACAGAGCTCCCGATAACAACACTGGTATGAACATCTCTCCTTAAACTGATGCCCCATTTCATGAACATGTATACAAAACTCATTATACAATAATCCACCCACTCTGTCTTCTGACACACAGCACAGCACCACTGAGTAGATGTGCTGGAGAAAGGAGATGGGTATGGGAAGGGCAAGGAAGAAACGGAAGGGTACAAAACCAGGAATGAAATCAAACTGGAAGGCTGTTAAGTGGACTTACTATGAAACACAACATGCACCCAAATCCTAGACAGTGGAGCGCATTACTCTATAGTAGAATAGCTCAACTGTCTTCAGGGACTAGCCGTGCAAGGATTTCTAAGCAGCCAACTGCTGAATATCTTCAGAAATAGCTAAGTGACAGATACTCAAGTGACCAGACAAACATATGAATGAAGATGCAAGCATTTGTGTGTGTCAGAAGTTATACTGTTCTGAGTAAATTATTAAAGGTTTTATATTCTAAGCTTCTGCAAGAAGAAACTCTTGAAGCACTTTAGCTGCCTGAATGATACAGCTGGCTGTGTAATCACCCAGCACTGTCCGCTGTTCCCTATGCTTTGTGCAAAGCTAGTACTGTTGAGGTTCCTGTCCTCACATGCATGCAATGCAACACCTCTTAACTGTCGGAGCAGACGCCCAGCTACTGTGTCAGCTATCCTGGGGCACCTAAGGTTTGCTGCTTGTCTCCTGATAAAGGTCTAAAACATGGCATTTACGTGCAGTCAATCTGCATGGACTGAGAGCAAGCCTAACCATCAGGTATGTGTCCTTTTAAATTAATGATTATTTTCAACGTTTTTTGAGTCCTGTAAATCTACATTTTAATATCAAAGGCATTTTAAAATGCAAGTAAAAAACATAATTTTTGAAAGCTTTTCTTTCTTTTTTGTTCTGTTTTGTGAAGAGAGGGTTTCTATTTAGCCGTCTTGGAAATCACTATGTATACCTCTCAAACTCAGAGATCCATCTGCCTCTGCCTCCTGAGTACTGGGATTAAAGGTGTGCGCCACCACTGCCCAGTGAAGCTTTTCAATTCTAAAGTTCATAAAACTTTATTTAGAATAAACTCAGAATAAATAAAATGTATATCAACAAGAAATATTTCAGAAATGAAGATTTCCCTCTGTAACTATACCTATGAGCCCAATACTTTTCTGTTTTCTGTACTGCTTTTAAAGCAAGCCTCACTCGGGAGAACAGATTTCTTTTAGAAAAGTGGTCTTCCTGGAGCCACAATGCCATTATAAACTAACCAGCACTCCTTTTACAGGTTCACACATACTGAGTTCTTACAGTTCTTGGTATTTGGGTCTTGACAGCCAGGAAACTGCTTTCTTAGACCAGTTTGCAGTCTACCACTTAATTTGTGTCCTTTGGTAGATATAAACCTGAAAATGCAGTTAAGTACTAATGCAATATAATAACAATTACTCAAAAAAACTAAAAAGCCATTCTAAATAAATGAGCAATAGAAATAAATGTTTTAAATATAATACTTTGAAATTCACTAAATATATAAAAGACAAAATAGGAGGACTATAGTTACATGCAGACCTTAAGGTTTCTTTTTCTTGAATATTAATATAATGTGCAGGTTTAGGAAGTATTTAAGGGTTTTGCTGTAAGTCTGAATTGTTTGCAGTGTCTGGTGTATGTGCTCTTAAGCAACTGAAAAACATATAACCTGTAACTATAATCTCTGCAAAGCAAGTACTAAACAATGCATTAGGAACAATGGTCAACTAATGTCATGTGAATCAATAAATAAGAAGCTGTTTTAAATTTCAAAGTCTCCAAACAGCTGTCTTGTTTCATGAAGTTCTAACTCACACAGCCACGCCCTTTGGTCTGTTGACTAGTTGCTGTTCTGCCCCATCAGTTACAATGCCTCAGGTAAACCTTACACACTGGTTTGCTCGTAACGGAAAGTCAACTGAGGCAACTGATCAGCCTGTGAAGTGTCCACTAAGAACAGCCCAAAGGGAAAGCAAAAATGACTTAGCTGAGTGTTGTCTGAGCCTTGTACATATAGAAACCATGCACTACTCCTGCTCAAAGTGTATCTGTCAACATGTGGTGACTTCTGAGCAAAAAAGAAAGAAAAAGAAGTGGGAATGAGGGAGATCAAACAGAAGAACAAAACTGGGAAGTCCAGGTGGCAAAGTCAAATTAAACCAAGCAGCTTTGTTTGGGATGCCTCAGTCTGCTCCTAACAGGTGCTGTCCTGCCTGGCTCATTCACTGGGTGGCTTGACTTCGCCGCCGGGTTCCTGAACCCCGTGAACCGCCCTGCTATGCATCATAGGGTAAGGAAAGGCAGCAGTACCACAGCCATAGCCAAGATCTGCAAGCCGGGACAGAGCTTTAATGCTACCTGGAGGTCTCCCTGGGCTGACCTTGTACCCTGCAGCTTTAGTTGTACCCAAAGGTCTGCCTGGACTTGTCTTAAATCCAGCTGCTTTGGTAGTTCCCAGGGGTCTGCCTGTGCTGGTCCGGTATCCTGCTGACTTGGTGGTTCCCGAAGGCCGGCCGCGCTTACCAGATCGATTGAGGTTTTTCTTTTTCTTTAGTTCATCTTTTATCTCTATGTTTCTGCCACTGGTAGGCTGCAAGTGTGTTTCGTTTAACGGGTCTTGCCTTTGACAAACCATTGGTTTGTGGCCGACTGTGTGGCCGTATTTGCTTTGTTGGGAGGAGTATATATCGAACTGGTCAGCAGCTCTCATGGCATCTTCACTGAGGCAGGAAGGCTTGCCAGGCCCACAGAATACTGGATTACTGCCGGCAACAGGATGCATCATTTTCTACCAAAAACAAAAACAAATATGCATAAATACCTATCTGTATGACAGCATTCAATGGGAAAATCCTTTCAACAACTATGCAGACTACCTAAAATTAGGGCAATAGACTCCAGAATACTCATAAACCAACCCATCTGAGTAGTATTCCATGACAGTCTCCCCACCCCTACCCAACTGAAACATTCTTTTCCAGAGGACGAAGGTCCAGAACATTCAATAAGTAAATGAAATGCACAATGGTCAGAAAGCTCCACAAAGTTAGGAGATTCACTCCCCCTCGCCCTGCAAGTTTATAAAAGCAGGAAGGAGCTGCTAGGGAGAGAAAATCTCTCCAGTGGACAGGGAGTTCTAGGGATGTGGCTTTTACAAGCTCTGACCATGCTAGGGAGTCTGTTCAGCCACACAGCTGCCTTTGAGTTACCTATACATCTGTCCATAATCTAATAAACTCACTGGCTCACTATGCTAGCCTTGCTTGGAATTCTTTGTTGGTGCCCCATCCAGGGTAAACAGAGAATGGTGTCCATGCCTCCACCCCAAAAAAGTCACAAAACAAGCCGGGCGGTGGTGGCGCACGCCTTTAATCCCAGCACTCGGGAGGCAGAGCCAGGCGGATCTCTGTGAGTTCGAGGCCAGCCTGGGCTACCAAGTGAGTTCTATGAAAGGCGCAAAGCTACACAGAGAAACCCTGTCTCGAAAAAACCAAAAAAAAAAAAAAAAAAGTCACAAAACAAACAGCGCAAGAGTCATGGTTCCCTCAATTATAGATGGAACAGATGTCATATGAGATCATTCAATTAGAGGCTGGAACTATGGCTCAGCAGTTAAGACAGGATTTGTTCATCTTGCAGTGGGCCCAGGTTCGGGTCCCAGCACCCACATGGTGGCTCACACCATCCACAATTCCAGTTCCAGGGGACTGACACCCTCTTCTGACCTCCTTGGACACCAGGCATACATATGAGAAACATACATACATGTAGGCAAAATAGTCATATACATAATCCCCCCCAGATAGGGTTTCTCTGTGTAACAGCCCTGTCTGTCCCGGAACTCACTCTGTAGACCAGGCTGGTCTTAAACTCAAAGATCCACCTGCCTCTGCCTCCCCAGTGCTGGGATTAAAGGCATGCACCATCACCACATAAAATTTCTTTCTTTCTTTCTTTTTTTTCCCCCTTTTGGTTTTTTCGAGACAAGGTTTCTCTGTGTAGTTTTGGTGCCTGTCCTGGATCTTGCTCTGTAGAACAGGCTGGTCTTGAACTCAGAGATCTGCCTGGCTCTGCCTCCCGAGCACTGGGATACATAAAATTTCTTAAAAATCTAAATTAAAAAAAAAAAAAAAAAAAAACCTCCAACTACCAATTTAATAGCTATAACAGTCTGATTAAAGCTGAAGTAAAAAAATGAGTACTTTGTAGGCTTTTTTCCCTTTTAAGTTATTAACCCTAGAAAGACAACAGTAAAAACCACAACAAGAGCCAAAGAGATGCTCAGCAGGTAAAGACACCTGCCACCAAGCTTGATATCCTAATTTCAATTCCAATGACCCAAGAGGTAGGAGTCAACTTCCACATTGTCCTGAAACCCACATACACACTCGTGTGCATGCCTTCGCGCGCACGCGTGCGCGCGCGCATACACACACACAAATGTTAAAAATTAAAAATAACACAGAACTCTTATTAAAATGAATTCCCATGCCTAACCTTAGAATGCCTTTGCTGGTTCTTACAGCTCATTCTCACATGTATACTCTTAACCTGATCAGTTTCCACAAGATGGATACTCAGTCATTATGGTAATTTATTATTTATGCAGAACACTGAGTGTGTGTTACACTTTTCAAGAGCCAGATAGTGTCAAGCAAGGAACACAATGTCTTGGCCCTTCCAATGGCCTGTATCCAAGCAGAAGATAAACAAAGGTTTCTATTAGCTAAAACAGATGAGCACAAATACAAACAGTGAAGACTGGAACTACAAAAATATGGGCAACAATCAAATACCGTCGACTCCAAAGGCAAAAGCTGAATGTCCAAGAGGTCACATACAGGGAATGCCACCTTCTTGTTTACAGGGGCCCTGAAAAGTCCAAAGTCACTGTTCTGTCTGAGGCCCTTGCTATGATTTCTCCCCTTCTACATAAGGGTATATCTCACCCGAGCATTTAGATTTTAGGCTGCAGCACTGTAACACAAGAAGACAAAGCTATGTGCCCCAATTCAGACTAAGGTCCCTCCTCAAGTGTCATCCTTCACATCCTAAAACTGCAACCCCTCCCAGAAATGACAAATAAGGAACTTAGTTCCTAAAAGCACAAGGAAATAGGACTCATGCCCGAGAGGCACATGCTATGAACTAAGGACTTGCCAAGAATCAGTAGGTCGAGTTGTTGCCCAGGTGGTTTAAAGCCTGCACAGTGGAGTAAAAATGTACATCGAGAAGCCACTTGTTTATGGTCAGGGCAGCCAACACAGAGTTGAATTGCAAGTCAAAACAAAACAGAATATTAAAAGGGAATAATTTTTACTTACTTCCCAAAGCTATGAGCTATTAATACTTACTTCACTAGCTACAATTCTAATTTCAGATTAGAAAGAGAGACCTTCAAGTTAAGTTCTAGTGTAACGTTGGCCTCAAGTTAGTTTTTGAGCATTTTCTATGTGCCAGGCCTTTGCACATAATCCTCAGTGTATGCTGTTAAAGAAATGGGAACGGGGCTGGAGACGGGCTCAGCAGTTAACAGCACTTCTGCACAACTGAGGACTGGAGTTTGGACGTCAGCACCTCCTTACAGATCAATCCTGCCTGCAACGCCAGCCTGCTGACTCGAGTGGAAACAGGAAGACCAGTGGACTTGCTGGCTTCCAGCCTAGCTAAGGAAACACAAGTCCCAGGTCCATTGACACCCTGCCTCAAAAAAATAGACAGTGACAGAGGACACTCAATCCCCCTGGCCTCTGCATCAGCACAAATAGATACAATCACACACCTTTTTTCTTTTGTTTTTTTAAGAAATGGGAATTGACTTTGACTTTCAGCCACCTATCAGGGACATTTTTTAGGAGATGGCAAAGCCAAAGAGGAATTTAGTTAATCTGAATAGAGAGCCAACCGTTTGTGTTACAGCTAGCATACAGCCATGCTGAGATCCGTCTTCTCTACACTGACAGTGTTTAGCAGCATCCCACTAGATGTTAGGAATACAGCTTTCCCCCCAAATTTATGACAACCAAAATTTTCTCCAAATGTTGCCCTAATAGGCAAACTCATCTCCTACCATAGGAGTCACTCTACCAGTCACCTCTTTGGGGCCAGGGACATAGCACATGTGCGGAGCCCTGGGTTCAATCCCTCATCACACCAAACAGAAAGACTCTTTTTAGCCCTTAACTTTATAAATATCCACAAAATATTTCTGTTGCAAATATAAAAGGCAAATACATTAATCATCAAAATGGAAGAAAACCTAGTACTGTGCTTTGTGAAACAATCACACTTTCTCTTCATGTTTTATACTCGTTAAATGTCTAGGTCCTCATGAAACACTATTATGCCTAGATTTATCAGGAAGTTTGGGTAGGAATAGGGATGATGACCTTCATTGTTTATAAAATCAGTAGTGCTAATAAAACAAGTAAAGCTTGGAAAGACTCCAGTCCTGCTCATGAACCTCTTTAACCAACTCCAGATTTCACTCAAGATGAACCTGTTGGCCTGTAAATGTAAGCAAATTGTATTAGATGGGACATGGAACACTGCTGTACACTTTATAATGTGGCATTAATAAATGTATCTGAGATGCACCACTAAATATACATATTCACATATATATGTGTGTGAATTAAGCAGGAATCTAAAGAGCTGTTTATAGCCAATGAATTTGGACTAGAAACTGTATGCAAACTAGAAACACATCTGTGAGGAAAAAAAAAAAACCTGGAGCCACTTGTGGTGGCACGTGCCTTTAATCTGAGATAGAGTTCACTGAAACTCTGTGAGTTCAAGGTCAGCCTGATCTACATGGCAAACTCCAGGACAGTGAAGGCTACATAAGAAAAGCCCCTTCCTTTAAAAAAAAAAAAAAAAGAACCTCAGTACTGGCTCGGTTGTTGGTAAAGTGCCTCCTGCTGTACAGACACAAGAGCCTGGGCTTGTATCCCCAGCATACATAAAAAAAGGTAAGCACAGCACCTTGTATAAGTAACCCCCATGGGGGAGGTAGTAGAGACTGCCAGCAGATCCCTACAACCCAGTGGTCGGCCAATCTAGCCAAACATGAGAGCCCTGGGCTCAAGGTGGGAGATCTTGTCTCAAAAGTAAGAGCGCACCCCTCAAGGAAGACACGTGGCACTGACTTCTTGACATGTGTGCAAACATGCAGAGGCACACACGTGCCTTTAAGTCCTATCACTGGGAAGGCTGACGTCAGAGAACCCCAGATTCAAGGCCAGCCCCAAGCTTCAGACAGCAAGAGATGATGGCAGTAAGTGGGAGTTCTTCCTCCCACACATGGGGCTGCCAGACAAAGGGAAAATATGCTTACACCCACTTCAGCACTGCGAACCCTCTGTGTTTATATGTGCATGTATTTACGTGCACGATAAACTTCAGCATTCGGCAACACCCCAGCATTCAACTCCAAACTTACCTGCTAATGATTGTGTTGTTTTTTGAGAACTGGTCTCATTCTTTGTCTAGGCTGGCCACAAACTCACCGCAATCCTCCTGCCTCACCAGGCAAGTGATACATGTAAAGGTGTTAACCAACATGCTTGGTCAGCTACTTTTTTAAAATGATGTCTGTGGGTGCGGGCAACCTTGGAGCTGCAGCAGATGGAGTCACCGTTAAGTGTCCAGCTGTGCAGTGACTAGGTGCAAGGAACCAATCTCTAGTTCTCAAGACTGGTACACACGCTCAACTGCTTTTTTCCAGCTAACTTGAACGTCTTGAACTCCTGCCATACAAAGTTCACTACAATGATGTAGGTTACATCTAAGAAAGTCGAAAGAATTTCTCTAAGATATGGGTGGAACGCAAGCTAGGAGTTAGAGAACAAATTGTGTTGTCTAGCAAAGGTTACAGTGTGGTTTGGTTTTGTTTGTGGTACTGGGGTGGAACCCAGAGCCTTGCACATACCAAACATCTTTTTAAATGATTCACTCAAAGTTTAAGGAAGCCAATGA